CCTCCATCGGAAATAAGAATTCCTTTTGTAGCGTTGCCTACAACCGGAGCAGTTTCAATGGAATTCGTTCTCGAGCGTTTACATAGCTGAGCCTTTGTGCAATCTTCGTCATCGTTGTTTCATTTCTGGAAAATACCATGGGAATTCAATTCCCTTTAGAGTATCAAATTTGAAAGAGCTCTGTCGTCCACTGAAAATAGATCCTATTTTGCATGGAGTGGTAGTCTTTTTCAACTATCGGTATGGAAATAGTTTTCGGCGCTAATATACTGCCAGCGTTTGTTCTCCTTAGCAATCCAATCGATCTTGCCTAGATTTAGTCGACGATGCCCATATTTCTTTTACGAAATCGCTTCTGCACGATAGTTTCAAGTTTTGAGTTATGGCTTCATATTTAGAAGAATGCGATTTTCAGCTGATTTCATTGATAAGACCTGCTACCATCCCGTAGTGAAATTAACTAGAGGGTTTTTTTTATTATTCATTACATCACAACATCTTTCCCGAGTCCTATCCGCTAACATTGCTTTTTTTCCTGTGAACTTGTTCACACGACTTTCGATGGAAAAAGCGAGTTTCACTGATTCTTTCTCCTGATATATACCTCTGCTACTGAATAATCCATGTTAACCCTTTGACGACAATGGCACCCACCGGTGGGTGCCACTATGACCGTCGCGTGGGACAATGGCACCCAATGGTGGGTGCCACCTTAAAATTTTCTTCTTTACCCATTTAAAACATTTTCAACATATCAGTAATTATAAGCAAGCTCCGTTATGCTTATGTTTAGCATATTTTACAGAAATGTTTAATAGTAGCTAATTTACAGTAGCGGTCAAAAGTTTGGAAACTTTTTTATTTTTGATCTAGCGCGGCCGATACACAACGAAATTGTCCCAAATTTAGATATTCCATACAAAATCAAGTTCAGAATACGACGGGAAGAACAATTTCCAAAAACCTATAATCATATTTGAGAAATAAGATTTTTTTCAAGTAATGGCGCGTCAAAAGTTTGGAAACTTTTTGTTTCCCTTATCATTATGATTCCTACTCTTCAATGTTTACTTGTTTCTGTTAATTTTAGTTAAACCATTGAGCAATGTGTAATTTCAAAATGAATTCATATGCAAACAAAGCAGTTTTCCCATGGGGATCCTTTTCTGAACCCTACAATCAAT